TAGATCCCAGGTATAAACAGGGCCATAAAAGGCAGGCGCACCTGGGACTTTGTCCAGACTCAGCCAGGGGGCAAGGTCTGTCTCTCCACCTGTCGCCTGTTCCTCGGTTTCCCTTTTGCTGGCTTCTCGAAGCTTAATCTCCTGCTTCAGTGGGGGGCTGGACTAGAAGACCTCCAAGGTCCCTTCCAGCTTCTATTCTATTCTATTCTATTCTATTATTCTATTCTATTCTTGCTAATTCTATTCTATTCTATTCTATTCTATTTTCTATTCTATTCTTCATTTCTTCTATTCTATTCTATTCTTTTCTTCTATTCTATTCTATTCTATTCTTCATTTCTTCTATTCTATTCTATTTTCTATTCTATTCTTCATTTCTTCTATTCTATTCTATTCTATTCTATTATGTTGTTCATTTCTTCTATTCTATTCTATTCTATTCTATTATTGCTAATTCTATTATATTCTATTTTCTATTCTATTCTTCATTTCTTCTATTCTATTCTATTTCATATAAAGATTCTATTCTATTCTATTCTATTCTATTCTATTTTCTATTCTATTCTTCATTTCTTCTATTCTATTCTATTTCATATAAAGATTCTATTCTATTCTATTCTATTCTATTCTATTTTCTATTCTATTCTTCATTTCTTCTATTCTATTCTATTCTTCATTTCTTCTATTCTATTCTATTTTCTATTCTATTCTTCATTTCTTCTATTCTATTCTATTCTATTCTATTATGTTGTTCATTTCTTCTATTCTATTCTATTCTATTCTATTCTATTATTGCTAATTCTATTATATTCTATTTTCTATTCTATTCTTCATTTCTTCTATTCTATTCTATTTCATATAAAGATTCTATTCTATTCTATTCTATTTTCTATTCTATTCTTCATTTCTTCTATTCTATTCTATTCTTCATTTCTTCTATTCTATTCTATTTTCTATTCTATTCTTCATTTCTTCTATTCTATTCTATTCTATTCTATTATGTTGTTCATTTCTTCTATTCTATTCTATTCTATTATTGCTAATTCTATTATATTCTATTTTCTATTCTATTCTTCATTTCTTCTATTCTATTCTATTTCATATAAAGATTCTATTCTATTCTATTCTATTCTATTCTATTCTATTCTTATCCCATCTATTCTATTCCATTCCATTCCATTCCATTCCATTCCCTTCCATTCATCATCATCATCATCATCATCATCATCATCATCATCATCATCATCATCATCATTATTAGTATTATTAGTATTATTAGTATTATTATTCTGCCTCCCAAGCAGCCCCACCAGCCCAAGAAGCATTCGGGATACCACCCCTCCCCCCTGGAAGGCTGGGAACAGTGAACCTTCATAAACAGGTGACCCCTTCCTGGACCCCAGGTACAAACAGGGCCATAAAATGCAGGCGCACCTGGGACTTTGTCCAGGCTCAGCCAGGGGCAAGGCCTGTCTCTCTACCTGTTGTCTGTTGCTTGGTTTCCCTTTTGTGGCTTTTCAAAGAGGAAACCTTGTGATTTCTCCGAAGTCGATGGGCGTGGGGCCAACAGAAGAGGGAGGGGCCCCAGGGCTCCGGGTCCACGGTCCAGCCTTTCACAATCTTTGCCCACCTTCACCTGGCGTGACCGGTTTGCTTTATCGATTATTTCTCTCGGCTGTCAACTGCTCTCCAGAGTTCCTTCTGCCAGAGGTGGAGGGCTGGTTTAGAGGCTCTGCTCTGCCCCCCTCCACCCAATCCAGCACCAGGGAAGATGGCCAGGGTGGCTGGTTTGTGTGACATGTCATCGTTTCTGTCCCGACAACCCCGGCTGTGGGGACGAGGCATCCTGCCAGAATAGAATAGAATAGAATAGAATAGAATAGAATAGAATAGAATAGAAGAATAGAATAGAATAGAAAATATGGAATGGAATAGAATAGAATAGAATAGAATAGAATAGAATAGAATAGAATGGAATAGAATAGAAAATACGGAATGGAATGGAATGGAATGGAATGGAATAGAATAGAATAGAATAGAAAATATGGAATGGAATGGAATAGAATAGAATAGAATAGAAAATATGGAATGGAATGGAATAGAATGGAATGGAATAGAATAGAATAGAAAATATGGAATGGAATGGAATAGAATAGAATAGAAAATATGGAATGGAATGGAATAGAATAGAATAGAATAGAATTAATAGAATAGAAT